TTATAAATATGAATTAAATATAATTATAACATAATTATTGTATAATTACAAATTTTAAAATTATATTGCAGTGACTATTGTTCCGTGTGTTAGAAATTCCATCTGCCATCTTATCATTAAATGCATATCATCAAAAAATTGCCGAGCTAATAATGATCCAAAAAATGTTTTTTTCAGCGCTCTCTCAAAAACTCGTTCGCTTCCACGAAACGTTTTTAATCTTCGATCGCTCGTCTTCCGCTAAAAGATTACGGACAACTCTGTTCACGCGCGCCGCTCGATAAGAAGATTAATATTAATAATAGCGGGACGATGCAAAATGACAGGGCGACGCAGCTTTTTCATGCTTGATCACATAGTAAACTATCTTCTCATTTCCATCAAATGTATAGAGAATTTAAAGGTGCGGGAAAAGGAAGATTTATACAAGAATAAAAATTTCCTGACTCCTGGACGCGTATATTATACCCGTATATATACGTTATGCTCATTTTATCCATAAAATAAATATATATTTTCGCAATAAATAAATAAATAAACAAATAAATAAATATATAAAAATATATGTATCTCTTCTTCTGAATTTCGAATCATGCTTGTGGTGCTCGCAAATCGTAATTGATGAATTATGATTCATTACAAATAAATAAACAAAGAATTAACTAATCATTTGTCGCTTATATTAAGAGCGATTCACCAAAGAAGCTACCAACACGACGCGAGTTTGACAATATTTTAAAGAGCTAAAAAATCAATTTTTTTACCTTTTCTAAAAGTATGATGTCTAAATAATATACTTTTCAAATTTTATTGGCAAAATTTGCAAAATTAATGTTTTGGAATAGGACAGTGGACTTGTGCAAAATCTTTAAACGCGTTTTTCTCAAACACTGTTGGAAAGTTGGTGTGATAAATATCATGAAAATTAATAGACCGAATAACTTCATCTTCTTTTAAATAAAAAAGAATATTTTCTTGGGGATATTGGAATCTAGAAGATTAATAATTATTAATTAATTTTATTTTATTTTTGATCTTCAAGAAATGAATAAATTTCAACAAAATTTAGAATGACATTTTTTTATTTCACAATTTTCTCCAGTGAAATAAAAATTCATCCTAAAATATTCTATAAAATAATATTAAACCGAGTTTATTAATTTTAGATAATTACGCGACGAGTAACATGTCATTGATATTTTCAAACACACTACATTCATTGATAAAAAATAGCTAAATAGACTTAAAAAAAATATCAACTGCTTAAATATAAAAAAAGACAACAAAAAACGTCAAGATTAATTCTAACATTCTTCAAAAAAAATTCTTAAGAATTATCAATTTTTTATACTGCTAGAATAGATTAGGGCTTTAATTTCCATATGTCCGCTCTGTCTTTTTCTCTCTCGCCGCCACAACCGTTATACATATTTTAAGCGGTCTTTATGATGTGCGACATAAGTTATACCGTACAGGAGTATAACAGGGAGGAAAAAATCGACGCGGTAAGTGGTTAAAAAGCCGGCGTTATGTGCTCGCGACGGGACGAACGATACATAATTTGGGGTGTTTTAATGCGCTTGAGAGAGCCGCGGATGCGGCAATAATGGACGATAATGGATTGTTGACGATAAATAATAGCATAACGAGGAATTCATTATAATTCGAATAGTTCTTTGTACTTATGAGTCCAAAGAATTCACCGAACATATCAAAAACATGATGAATGACTATTGCAATAAGTATCGTAGTGCAGTTTATCAATGACATCTTTAGACAACGAAATTTTAATATTAAACCTGATACGATATTAGTTTGATATTAGTAAAAGAGACGAGAGAAATTAAATCTATAACTCAAGAATCGTAAAAGTCATAAATCAAAATCAACATATGGCTTCTCTTCGGGCGAGAAGGAAAGCCTATTGAAAGTAGCAATCCGTATCCGCTACTGTTTCAATAAATAATCGTACGAGATATATTCGCCAGGCGGTTTTGAAAAGTCAAAGTATTCCATAATCCTGATTAATATCCCTCGAATTGTACAGCCGGTGATAAAAATTAAAAAAATCGAATATAAGCCGGTGGACTTAACTAAGTCACCACATTATATTTATATCTTTTATATAACATCATTATATTATGTATAACTGTATTTATAATATTTGTAATACGATTACCTTCTTAGGCTTACACTCGAGAAATGTTGAGCGTACAAAGTATACACAGTTAATGTTCAAAATTAAGGATTATCTTTAATTAATAATTTCATTTCAGCGCGACTCTCGCAAATCACTAGGCTCGCTTCTTTCTGACACGTCGCACCGCTTTAATGCCGCGTATATAGCAGACGATTTAGAAACGCGCCGAACAGACGGAGCTCGAACAGCTGGGGCAATCATTTCCGATGACGCGGTTCGATTGAGAACGGTATGAGAAATCCGCTCGACCGCCAGATGAAGGGGGTAGAGCTTGCGGTACGCGATGCGAAATTTGTTCTTCGCTCGCATTCAACAGAGTGTTTCGCTTATGTAAGTATTTCTTGGTCACGATCAAAAATTTATCGATGTTTTATGTATCTGCTGGAATATATTCCTTACGTGTAGAATTTTTGATAGAAAAATCTTCTGACAAATTTAGATCCCATTGTCAAGTATTAATTATTGGATAAGTAATGTAGCTAGAATCTTTGTGAAAAACAATTTTTCGCATCTACAAAAATTGTTATTATAGTTACAAGATCTTATTTATTTATTTATTTTTTTAATGCATCTGGATCGATATTAATTGATACAATTAAGTAAAACGTTATTTTTGTCTTCCTAAATTCAAGATACGCGACACGAAGACATTTATCAAATCTTATAAAAATTTTCAATATTGAAATCTATAAAAATTTTTTGATATTTCAAGTATTTTTATTAAAAATAAAATAAAATATAGATTTTTTTGTGTAATTTTCTAAAATAAGTTCTTATATTTCGTGCGTTTTCTGATGCTTTTTATTTATACGTAAGAAAAACATAGAATCACTCCAGATTCAAGTGTTATAAATTTGCAAATGAGAAGAACTGAATAACTTTCTAAACTAACTAAAGTAAGTTAAACATATTTATTTTTTCATCACTAAAAATTACAATAAAAGTCCTGCATATTCAATATTTTTTAAAATATATTTTTCAAAATATATATTATTCTAATATATTTTAAATATATATGATTCATAATTTGACTTGGATCGATGGATTTCCGATTTCTTCGGACAATATAAGATCAAAATTATTAAAAGGAGAGTTTTCTTTTTAAATTCCTAGAGTTCTAAAATTTCATAAAAAAACTCTCATTATTCCAGATGCAAAAGAAAGATCCAGATTTTCCTTATTTTTTCAGAAAGTCAACATATTAATATTACATTAATAGAGATTCAAATTCGATTTCAATATCGAGTAATCACGATCCAGTGATATTCAGCTAATTAAAAATATTTCACATAAGAATCTATCATCTTATACTTATAAAGATGTATCCAATATATCGACAAACGGATGGTCATACTTCATTAAATTTATTAACTAATTTTTGTATATTATTAATTTTATATTTCTTCGAGATATATCAACGAATGTGCTCGACGGTAGGTTTCTGGAGCATTTTTCACTCATACTCGGAGAAGAACATTATCGCCGCATCGGCGATTTCATTACCGGAATAAATCGACGGTCTCGCGAATTTATCGGCAAAAGGACGTGGCCGCCGGAGAATGTGGGTTTCCCTTATAAATTATAAGGAGAGAGCCCTGACGTACACCCGGCAATTCATCAGCTACCCCGGCAGCACACGCGATGGTACCCCACTGCGTATACGCGTAGACACGCACATGTCCTCGCCCTTCTCGCCCTTCAACGTGCAATTACGTCCTTTGGCGCAGTTTTTAAAAGGCGGGTCCCCCGGTGAGCCAGGTATTCACTTACGCCAATTCCCAAAAATTGTTCGAATTTAGGTCCCTTCAACGGGGGAAAAGTCGATCGACGAGGAGCGAAGCAAGGAGCGAAGAGGAGCGGAGGGAGGGAAAATTATCCAAATTCGTCGGCGATTTAATCGCGTGACGTTTCGCCGCCACGCATGCAGGGTAAACATTAATGCCGGCCCGAAAAAAATTGCATTGGTCGAGCGGGATGCGTCATTTTTGCGCGGCCTCACCTCTGCCTGCAGCGGCCAATCGCGACCGCCAGTTTAAAAACGGTACTCCGGAGATATTGGCGGTGAAACAGGAGGGGAAAGGAGACGACACACTTCCGGGGAGGCTACACCTGGTGTACGGTCGAATAGCCGTGCACGGCGACCACCTAACGCGGACGATATTTCGATTATACCCGGTCTGGTTGCGCGAAAATTAATGACGGTGTAATAAATAATACATCGCGGTATCGTCGTTATTATTATTATTAATATTGCGCGGGAAAAGAGGGCACTGTATCGACTGTACGGGACATAATCATACCTTCCCCCTCGTCTTTTATGGCATGGGATAATTATATATTCGACAGCGCGAAGGAATCGAACGACTGTTGTCGCGGAATCCTCAAGCGTAATATTTCATTTTACCTGCGCGTATTGGGAAATAATTGGCTTTATTACACAGGACGCGCGATTCCGCGACCCGAAATTTTCAATGTCGATCGACATCGCGATTCCCTCCCATGATTTACAGGCAACATTTGACGCGTCCGTAAAGTACCGGACGATGATTCCCGAGACAATCTCTTCGTACGAGATGCGTCAAGCAGCTCAGAGATTAATAGCGTTGATGAATACTGCCTTGATTCGCGACGACGAGTTAAATCCAGGGGAATTAGACGGATAAATCCGCCGTCTGTGCGATTTTGCCGCTTGATTTAGACCAGCTGGCGAGGAGGAAGTAACGGAAATCGGAAATCGTTAACGTCCGCGCGATGACTCGCGCCTTTTTCATTTCATCGACGACTAGCCTTTGTAACTTACCGTGGATATCGTTGACGCATATGTGAAGATCCTCCCGGAATATCGGCAGATCGAAGTTACACTGACACGTGCAGGAGCTGTTCGGTACAAGAAGACTCGAGGAACTCGAGAAGCTACGGGAATAAGGACTGGCGGTGCCGCTGCTGAGCACTGTGCAGGCTTCTGTGCAGGAACCTGTAACAAGTTTTATAAATGACTTTTATAAATGACTTTATACGTATCTCGAGACACATATCTCGCACGATTATTTTACATGTAGATTGTAATTTTTGATTTAAAATTCAACATCCGATATTTTAATCTACTCTCTTAAACTGGAGCAGTGAAAATGTCACCGAGATTTCACCCAAGATCAGTAAGTTTCACTGATCTTGAGCGAAAGCACTCGCCATTTTGCTTTGAAAAAGTTCACACTAATTGAAACAATTTCCATTAACACTTCTTTAGATGAGATTTCACTAATTTGTCGTGCTTTTATGAATCGTGATTTATTACTTTTTAATTAAGACACTGATTTGATTAGAAAGAAAAATAAAAATAGATCTCTCCAAGTGTGAATATATAAAATTATTTGACATTATTTAAATATATTTACATTTTAACACGTTTAAAAATATAGGATTTTTAGTCTGCAATATTTTATTATTCGTTCGAATTAAAAAAAAGATTATATCTTTTTTCTCATTTAATTTTATTCAACCATAATTTTTATTTCCCTGCTTTCAGTTGTCACGTTTTTTGTGTCGCGTATTAAAATAAATCATTATACATTAACAGTTAATTAGCCGGTCTTTCGAGAATCAATAAGTTGCTCGTGCTTTAAATGTGGTTCGCGTGGATCTCTTGATAATGTCTTGAGATTGTCGAAAAAGGTGACGTATGAGCCGTCGCGTGTTCCGTCAGGACACGCTGTATAATCCAGCCGAGCAAGGACAGGTCGGACAGCTGTCAAACCGTTACATCGTAATTTCGCGGTTAATCCGTTACAAGAGTCTTTTTATTTTCACGTAGCGCGGTTGTGTCACAATTTGTGGCACAAAATCGTCGCTCTCGTATCACACTTTGCTTCCGTGTACCGGAAAATTATGCGAGGACTTGCGGCGCGAATCGATCTTTATGAATGCGCATCTCGAAAGTAGAATCAGCGATATACATCAATAATGTTGTCGTTTTTACAGCATCACGAGAAAAATCAAGTAGATAGTATTAGAGATATAAGTATAAAACAAAAATGAAATGCTTATTTTTTCATAAAATACGGTGTTTCTGTGAAAGAAGCTCTTTCTTGAAAATTTTATTTTTGTTTTTTCCCCAGATATTTAATGTCTTTATATTTTAATTATTGCAAGTTGATTTTTATTCTTGAATTTTTAAATGACAGATTGAACTAATCATCACTATTTTAAATGTAATGTAAATAGCATTTCAATTAGTTATATAGTTATATAATTATTATTTCTACATTTTTCATAAATTGAGTTTAAATGAATTATCTTTATTATAGATGCAAAAACACAGTTCTTCTTTAATTTTCAAAAATGAATTTTAGTCATTATTTTAATATAATAAAGGAAACTAAAATTTTTAATTTATATTTCTTTCAAAATTAATAATTTTAATAGATTAATGAGTTTTTTATGATTAAAATGATATTAAACACAACGTAATTCGGAGTTTTCAATTAAATGCATAATAAAAATTTTTATTTTGTAATCTGAAAATTACAAAATAATACTCTTTAAAAATTATTCAAATTATGTCATGTTTGATATAATGCTCCAAAAGTTTCATTAATTAATCCTTTAAAATTACTTTCGAAAAAAGATAAATTAAAAATATGGAGAAAGACAATATATTACATTTAAAAAAATAATGAAAAATCCAGATGTTTCTTTTTAACCTCTATTTTCTATTTAAAAAAAAACAGTTTTTACACCTCGAAGTAAGATTGAGATTGTAACGGAAATAAGACATAAGGAACTCTTTTCCTTTTTTATATTTTACCGCTATTATCGTATCCCAATGCAATTTATTCCGTCATCGTTTTGGATTATCGCGACTTGTGAAATGTTTATTCTTTCGTAGATCGGAATACGATAATGATGATAATTATAAAATATACATATTTTTATTAGTATAATAACATTATAATATACATTAATATACATATTTACCTTCGATGGTAAAAATATCGCCATCAGAGTGCCTGATGATCGACAATTCCTGGCAATGAACGACGATTTGCAGAAGGTTGAAGCAGCTCGCGAGAACGAGAGCTAGAGAACGCATCTTCCCCACAGCATGCTGCAAAGATAAATAAATAAATGTAGATCGTAAAAATAGAATCGAGGACGAGTCGATTTTACGAGTTTCGCGTCATGGAAAATCCCGAGAGTATTAATGTTCGCTTTTAATTCTGCGATAACACGCAAAAAATTTTTATGTATTTCCATCATGGCTCATAAATACGCGTTTGTCAATGGAATTCCACATCAGGAACGATATATTACCGCGAGAAAAATATTTAGAGATGTATAAATGAAATAAACAGAAACTATATTTTTCGTCACGTTAATAAATTAATTTTTCACATGCGACATGACGGATTTCTTACAAGTTTACTTTAGGATCGCTCACGCGACGTGCAAGCATGAAGCATAGGAAATTGAACACACACGCGAAAATTGAAAGGATACTAATTTAGCCATTAGAATCATTTAGCCATTAAGGTAATAATTTGAATTTCTTCCACGTGTGTTCCGATCGGTTGAGGAGTGTTATGATTACGGTCGTTAAGTAAAATTGTAATTAACCCCGGGACCTCATAATCGAACCTCGGATGTTCCCGCGCTTTTTATCTCTTGTAATCGATTCTGGCGAACGCGAGAAATTTTCACGAGGCACAAATCCTCTTCCTCCTGAATCGAGCTAAGGCGCGATAAATTGCAAGAATTATGCTGTTTTTATCGTGACAGATTGAAGAACGATGATCGTCGAGAGTTATGTTAATTCCTGTCAAATTATATTAATCGCCAAAAATGAGTCGCATCGGGCTGGATTGTATAATCTAGCTCTCTCGAGTGATAAATCGCCGGTCCACGAGATTACGCCTCGTCATCTGAATAATTTCATTAGTCTCCGACGACAGGCACAACCGCAATTTCGGAAGTTCTGCCGCAGAGAGAGAGATGGATGTATATTTCTGTCTGATCAGGAAAAAAAAAAGAGACCGCCAGATCGTCGTTATTAATCAAAGGCCCGTTACTGACGTGCCATCTAAGCTCTTCTCTCAAAATAACGAGATATTTGGCATCCGTTTAATCCCGTCGTTTATCATCGCGTCTCGCGTGCCCTTAAATGTAAATCTTTCATGCAAATCGGCGCTAAAGAAGGAGCGTAACAAAGTGACTCTGTAAAATTCTCGCGTTACTCATCAGACTTTACTACGCAGCGTGTTATTAGAATTCAATTAAAGAGCCCGAATCACTTAATAATCGTTTACATCCGCTTGTCTTTAGGGAATATAATAAGCGTTGTAAATGACTAGTTACTCGCCTACAACGTCGTGTAATTATTCTTTCGCTAATAATCCTCTCGCTTAAAGGATCCCCGCAACGGACGTCGGAAATTATTAATGCCATCGCGATTATATTAATCGAGTCGCGTCCAAAGTCCGACTATTGAATCTTAGTAAATGCTAACGAGTGCGCCGGTAATTACAGCGCAGACCCTCCGCGAAATTGTGTTAATCACGTATTAAAACACATGTCGAGACGCATCTTTCGCACTCGTTGCACTTGTAACCGGATTGCACTTTGATTAAATTCTCTCCTTCCTTCCCTCTTGATTCTTTCATCCTCGCTCGTCTTCAAATTACTTTGACGCGAAATTACTTAAGTGCCTCTCAGCTGTCGGAAGGAAAGGAGAAAGTGTGGTTCCCATAGATGGAAAAATTTTCCTCTCCTTCGCAAGAATCCAGTCAGGTTCTAAATGAGTCAAATAAAAAATATTCAAAGCAGTCGGGATAAGATCTGTTAAGCGAATGATAAATTCGCCAAATGTGTCTATAAAAACGACGGATCTCGTCTCGAAATTCAATTACTAGAAGGAAAGCGACGCTTATATTAGGGTTTTTTTTACTTTTTCTTTAAAAGCTGATTTATTTAAATTTTAACGAAAAATTTTAAAGAAAAAGAATTACGCCTTAATTTTGTCCAGGTGTATATTTTAATTTTTGATGGTCAAACGACTGACAGTTGGAAGGGGAAATTTGATGGATTTTACATGGCCAAGAATCTGCTATAAATCTCTGTAAATCGTAAACGCCAATAGAGCGACATTCAGACATCAGCAGAGACACTGCTTGAAAAATTCAATACGTTAAATTCGGATCCTGCCGATCGACGCTTTAACGACATGCTAATATGTACGTTATTCTGCACAGTAAAAAATTGTGTGTTAAATTTAACATATTTCACAATTTATCCCAATTTATCCACTCTAATTTTAATATTAATTTAACAGAAGGCAAGTATGTAAATAAATAACACAAGTAATATGTTTAAAAATTAACACAAAAGTGTAACACTTAAACTTTATCTGGAAATAAAGTTTATGTTAAATTAACATATTTATAATGTTAAATTTAATTGAAAGAAAATGTTATTCTTACATTTTTATGATAAATAACAGAAGAGCTATGTCGATTTAACATATGGAAGCTGTTAGAGAGAAAAATAACACAACTTATCTCATTTTAACATATAACATATTTCATCAAAAATTCCTGCATTTACATATTAATCGCGTTGTTTTAATTCTTAGAAAACGATGAATATTAACTCAACGCAGAAATGTCAAAATAAGAGTATGTTAAAAATTTAACACAAAAATTTTTACACGAGAAAATTTTGACAGAAATACAAAATGTTTTTTTACCGTGTGTCTGAAATTATGGCCGATACCGTATAACACACATGCCCGAGCGAGACGAACTAGGAAGGTGCCGTTCATCACCTCGACTTGTCCGTCCTCGATTCGGTCATCGCGAAAAAATGTATAATTCACCCATCGTCCCGATTAGAGATTGATTTACAGAGGAAGCGCGGTAAACAACGGTAAGCATCCTTGACGTTGCAGGAAGCGCCAGATCTTTCCGTGTGTGCCTCTCTGAGAGGAGCCGGCACCTGCATCAGACGCGTTCGATTTGAGCACGTTGCGTTCCGCACGTTGCAACACGTGTTATCTTACGCGTGCCATCAGCTCGATTGCGCATAACGTTAAGCTCCTTGCCCGCCGGTGTTTCTTGCTCTATTGATCCGGTCTCGCGCGTGCAATTTATAAGGATGCTCGCGCGAGACATAACGACGTCCTCTAAGCGCGCATTATGCTCGCCAAGAAGATTCAACGTACGATAGATGTATTATAATATACCTGCGGTTGGACGGATCTTTGTTGGACACGTGAGCCATCCTGAATTTTCCTCATCCAAACATCATCGTTGCATGATATCCCTACGCTTTTTCATCCAGCAACGCGTCTCTAAGCATTAATCTAGCGAGACGATCGAGTCTTTGAGTAAAAAAGTCTTTGTAATCCGTTTGAAGAAGATGTAATGATATTCAATAATTTTGTAATCTTTTTCTTTACACAAAAAGACGAAGACATGATTTTAATGATTTTATAGAATATCATAATAATTAATATTTGTAATTTGAAGGCACAGTTTACTCCAGCAGTATGAAAAATTGATAATTTTTAGGAATTTTTTTAAAGGATATTAGAGATGGAAATTAATGTTGAATTTTTATAATAATATAAGTTTTTATGGATTTTATATAGTATGTCGATATTTTTAAATCTTGGTATTTAGCTTTTTTATGGTTATTATAGCGAGTTTTTATAGCGTATTTAGGAGTGCATAGCTCGATTGTATAATATTATGTAATTATCTAAGATGAATAAATTCGAATTAGTTTATAGGATTATTTATAGGATGCTCAAACTAATTTTATTAGAGAAAATTGTGTGTATGTGTGTGAAAAATAATAAAGTAGTGTTTTTAAATATTTTAAATATTTTACATTTATTTTAGATACTTAAAAAATTATTTTAGATACGTAAAAAAATCAATCGAGATTTTTGACGCTCCAAAGTAGATTGGATTCTTAATTAACTCAGTAATATCTAATGGAAACTCCTAATAATTAACTTAGTGATATTTAATGGAAACTCTGAATAAAACATTAATCCACAACATACTTAACGATATAAACCGCTATCACAACTCTTGCCTAAAGCGACTTCTTGAAGATTTTACGATCTAGCTATCAATCAAGCCAAGTTTAGTGGCAAATTACTCGTGTTTTTGAGCGCTTATCGTATAAAATAATAATAAAGATACGAAAGTGTCAAAAGCATACATTTCCCTTCTTTTATCCAAGCAACTTCTAGAATTTTACGCGACTCGAACTACATCTAAAATTTAGAATCAAGAAGATGCATCGTTTCTCGCTCCATGTGCCGTGTAATTCGATCAATTTGTGCATATCTACATACTTTCAATCGACAAATTACAGTGATTTAGATGGTGCGAACTGCATAGGTACGCATTCGTATGTCATACGCGCGAGTTATTTCGTAATAGTGCCAACAGTCACGGTCAATAAACAAAATGATCACGAAATAATGAATAGAAAGCAGCGATTCTAGATTTTCTAGCGGTGACATCAATGTCAAGGAAGACAATTTTTCATTGACATGTGTGGAATTTATAAAAAAGCTTCGAGGAACGCAGAGATTCGGTTATGGAATTTACTACGCGTAAGAGAGAATATGTACTTTAAATTCGCGATTTAAAGCAAATTCGAACTAATTATTATCTGAATGAAGCCCGAAAGTACTATAAACTGATATCTATAATGGTAATTTACCAAGAAATCATCATGATAAAAATAAAATCTTCTGATAAACGTATTGCGTGGCGTTGCCTCGTAAAGAGTTAATTTATTCGAACGTCCAACTAGATAACGAAGTTCAATCGCATGCATACTTTGCTTTTAAAGAATGTTAAAAGTCATTATCAAAACGAATTGAACGTACTTTCTCGATTGCTACTAAAAAAAAATGAAATTAAGATAGCCTCTTTCATACAAATGTAAGAGTAAAATTGTATACAGTATGGCTCATTTTAATTTTAATAAGTGTACGTGTGTGTCTTCTCATCTAAATAACTTTTTTCCTACTCATTTTACAAAAACAATATTATATAAAAATTATTTAACCTTAAGGGAGACAATTTATCA